AATGAAAGTAAAGTTTGTATTGTCACAAACATCGATATCAGAATTAGTGTCTCAAGATACCAAAATATTGTATTTCATGACCGTTAACTCGACACGCTTCCGTTGCCCACGTTATATATTAATTTCCAATCTTGTTTCGAGATGTTTAATTCTCATTATTTTAATTTTTTTCTGAATAGTTCATTTATATTGTGTACTGGATTTTTCATAATTTTAATCTACGATTTATTAGCTACCACCATATTATGTCCCGATAACGACAACGGAGTCTTCAAAGTATGTATGTATGTATGTATGTATGTATGTATGTATGTATGTATGTATGTATGTATGTATGTATGTATGTATGTATGTATGTATGTATGTATGTATGTATGTATGTATGTATGTATGTATGTATGTGTGTTTTTGTGTGTGTATGTATGAATGTATGAATGTATGTATGTGTGTGTTTTTGTGTGTGTATGTATGAATGTATGAATGTATGTATGTATGTATGTATGTATGTATGTATGTATGTATGTATGTATGTATGTATGTATGTATGTATGTATGTATGTATGTATGTATGTATGTATGTATGTATGTATGTATGTTTTTGTGTATGTATGTATGTATGTATGTATGTATGTATGTATGTATGTATGTATGTATGTATGTATGTATGTATGTATGTATGTATGTATGTATGTATGTATGTATGTATGTATGTATGTATGTACTGCTTTGCATGGCTCTCTTTTGGTGTGTTTATATGTATGTACTTGATTTGAACGCATAAATCGCTTTTTTTTTCATGTTTACTCGCTTGGCGCTCGGCTTCATGAGGTTAGTGTTAGGACTGGTCAGCTTGGTGTCAGTATAATGTGACTTGGTGGGACATCATGCTATATGTTTGCGGCATGATGCTCCAGTGCTAGACATCACTATAAACTGCCACAATGCAGACATCGTAGCGATATGACTGAAATTTTTTAAAGCTACTTTAAAATTCTAAATCACAACCACCAAACATAATTTTTATATTATCGCACAAACTAAACAAGATTTGTGATCATGTTCCGTTGATTTTCGACTGACTCGAATTCGTATGATTGTAACAAATTCTTGAAAAATGTAAAACTGTAAAATATACATTTTTCGATAATTGGTATGTTTATCATGAAAAACACAATAAACCATTATGTATCAGATTATTATCATTTCATCCAAAATAATATATAAAATATTATATGCAATAATATTAAACAGTATTATACATATTTGTCGGTATATATATAAATTTCTCATCATGCATTGCGACGCTGATTGTGTGTACCTACAAAAGTTGTACCTGCAGTAACAAAAACGAGTACATTTAGAGCTAAAACAGCTAAACAGAAACTGCATTACATTTCATAAATGGAAATTAATCTTTTATAAAGTAATTTGACCAGACGCCGTCTCGGCTTTCTGAAGTTATTTCCCCTTACTTCCTTGCTAATAACTACAATCTACTCCGTTGTTAACGAGACAACGTTAACTTTCAGATTTTGGAAATTTTGACTACATGTGATTTTTAGATTAGAACATTTAGTCAGCTTCTGTCATAATATATTAGAGTTATGGAAAAATCCAACATGTGATAATGATATCCCGGTGAATCAAAAAAGGTCCATATTACTCCTGGAAAATGCATTGTTCAAAACAACTTGATGACAGCTATCGTAAGGTGTTCATATTGAAGTCATAACCTCAAACGGCAGATTTTCCAGGTTGTTTAAATTTATCTTAGGCTGCCTAAACTCCATTCGACCAAATACAAGGGCGATAACAATCGCGATGGCACTGACAGTTAGTATTACAAACAGTATAACGATTTCTGTTCCTTCAAAAGCCGTGTTACCTTGCCCATGCTGAGCAGAAGAGGAAGTGACGTTACTGATTTGGCTGAGTGGGGGGTTAGTAGTCCATTTAGTGATTGAACTTTCAGAGGAATGCAAAGTTGATGTCGACAGATTGCTGGAAGTTATGGTATATGTGCTACTTAGTCCATTAATATTCTGAGTGATTGTCACCGAGTTGAAGTCAGTTTTCATACTAGTTATCGTTCTGTTGTTAAACGTGCTAATCTCTCCAGTTGTTAACAGCGTATTTGTTGTTGCTTTGCTAGTTATTGTCGTGATATTTGGTGTCCAATTGTTGTAGTTGGTCGTGGACGGGTTATCCTCATCAGCTGCTGGCAGTATTGTCGTATCCGAAAGGGCTTCTATCATTTTCGACAGCGGCGTCGTTGATAGGATTGTAGAATTGTTGACAGATATGGTCGACGAATAGTTGGTAGGTATTGTTATTGTTGAACAGTTACCGATGCTGAATAAATATACTAATAGTAGACACCAGAAGGCGAAATATTTCAATGACGACGAGTGCGTGTTTAACGTTACCATGGCTAGACTTTTGATGAAAAATCCAAAGATATCTTGAATGTTTTCACAATATTTCGCCGTTAGGATCACTATGTTTTGAATGTGATCCAAATGTTTTCAATATGAAAAATATGAACTATAATGTCAAGAAATCGAAAGTGTCCTAGATTCACGTGTCAACGCTGCAAATAGTCCATAGACACTGTAAATAGTCCGATCTGACATGAAAACAAATTTAATAGTATTAAAATATTTCTGTTTTCAGAAATCATTACTCAGTACATCCTACCTGTATCAAATCCAACATCCAACGTGCTGTAGCACACAGAATACCCGAGTGCAAATTCCAGCCACCTGTTATGTTATATAGCACTCAACGCTTTAATGAAGTTCATGATAAGGGGATTCCAAACACTACATAATGTCAGTTACTACCATACGTATGTCTAATGATGTAGACTGCAAGGTCAATAACAGTGTAACCTTTTTTTTTCCACAAACATTCAAGTTGCTGAATCTAGAAGAACACACAATTCACAAACTATATAATTTAATCAAGATTCAGTCAGCCTGTAATATAACCGTGGTTTCTTTCAAGACATGTTTTGTTACTTGGCATAAGTTTATATTTGTATAGTCCACTTTATATTTTCCGTTGAGGGCAACATCTAGTGTATTTGGTACTGACCTTTATAATGTTTCTCCATGAGATACACGGCACATCAGTAACTGCGAGGGCTATAAATCTACCCATTGAACGAGATGACCTTCTTAGGATTGGCATACTTGAGGTGTCACTGCAGTGGGTAACTTACTACTCGTTGGAATTGGGAGCGCCTACTCATAGAGATGTCAGTTGCATTATTTATTGAGGATTTATAAAGGATTTACACATTCTAACTTAAGTTATGTACTAATGTGAACAATATTAGTAATTTATTGAAAACAAACAATCGTCACTTGTAACAAAATCCAATTTAATATTTGAAAAGAGATTTATTGAATTCGCGTCATAATACGATAGAGCAGGAGAATAAAACCAAAGCAAAAACAGACAAGCAAAACAAAAATACCCCTCCCAACAAACACTTAGAGCCTGCCAGGCCCTACGTGAGATGAGTTAGTGTGCTGCGAGTTAATGTCACAGTACATACCTCGTATAATTCACCCCACCCACCCACCCACTCTCTCTCTTTATATATATATATATATATATATATATATATATATATATATATATAGATATATATATATATATATATATATATATATATATATATATATATTGTAACGTGGGGATTTCAAAACATTAAAACCCTCCTCAATTGATCGAATTCATCACAAGCGATATTGGACTAAAGAATTTTGGACAAGCTATACCCCTAAATTGTTTCCCAACGTGTACGCCATTAATTTAACTGATCAATCGGAAATAACTCTTCATAAAATTCTCTCCAAATAGTCATGCCTATCATCTTATTTCCCTAGCCTAAATATGCTGCAATTAGCTTCCTTTGAAAAATCCATTATTTGACGTGCGCCTCTTTGAAGTGATATGGACAGAGTTCTTTCTCACCTATGCCATTGTATCGGTAAAATGATCCGCTCAAATGCTACTGAAGTTTAATGTAACCCTTTTATGTGTTCAGAGATAAAATAAAGAAAAAAAAAATCAGTGAACTTTCTTAAGAACTTTCTGGCTTGACTATATTAACTTCAAAGCACAACTTATTTCACCTTAAGACTTCAAACTTCCACACATCACACACACATACATACATACACACACACACACACACACATATATATATATATATATATATATATATATATATATATATATATATATATATATATATAGAAGAGATTGTGCTATCCCTGGATTCTGTAGTAGAATCTTGATAATAGTGGGCAGAAATAATAGTTTAATACAAACAATATTATTATACAGGTAAGAGAAATTAAATAATAGAGAAAGTAAATGGGTGCCATTTACTCGCGGACCTGGGTTCGAAACTCGGTAGAGTACGAATTTAGTTTCTCTAACCTGTATGATACTATTGTTTGTTTTAAATTATATATATATATATATATATATATATATATATATATATATATATATATATATATATATATATATATATATATATATATATGTTTGTGTGTGTGTTGATGGGTGGGTGTGAGTGCATGTGTGTGGTGTTGGGTATGTTTGTTGAGTGCCTTTTGTGTAAGGTTAGATAAGGGAAATTATGCGTGTTCAACAAGGACAAGGTGGTAAAATGCCTGGCTTACATACATATGCATACAGTAGATTGTGTTTTACATGGATAAATTCAGTAAAATTGCCGTGTGTGTGTGTGTGTGTGTGTTTTAATGTAGCTTTAAAAATTAATATATCCAGTCACATGGCTACGATGTCTGCAGATGTCTGGCACTGAGGCATCGTGCACCAGACATGTAGCATCATGTCCCACCAATTCACATTATTTTGACACCAGTCCGACCAGTCCTAACACTAACTTCGTAATGCTGAGCGCCAAGCGAGGCAGCTGCTTGTACCATTTGTATAAGTCTTTGGTATCAATGGTACGACTCAGTCGGGGTTCAAATCCATGACCTCCCGCATCCGAGGCGGACGCCCTAACCATGTAGGCCACCAAAACAGTCAAATTTGCTGTGTTAAACACCGATAAAGTATTATATTGCGCGAGTTTTAAAAACATATATACTTGTAATTCCGTTTGTTTTGTACACGGATCAATAATTTAAAATTGGCCGTATTTTATATTAATTTAAGAGGGTTCATTGAGTGATGTGTTGTAAAGGTAATAAAAATTATGTTTGAACTTTAATACTAATAAGTTTTGTTTACTCCGTTCTCTTATACTATCTGTTTCGCAATTTCTGTTAGGAGTTTATTTTGACTAGTTGTCAGCTCTGACCGGAAGACCTAATTTCCTGGGAATAATTTAATTATACTTACTCGTGCTGACAAAATCAACACAATGTTTGAGATCAGTGGAGCGTAAATATATGAGAAAAATTGGACACATCAAAATTATTAACCGCCTATCGGATGAAACAGAACTGTAAAAAAAATTTAAAACCCGAAAAAAGCAAACAAATATTTAGTTTACTTCTCTAGATTTTGAGTCGAAGAAACAAGTTTAAAACGAAATTTGCTCTAGTGCTATTCCGAATAATCAATATAGTCTTGTATTGGTCACTTTTAGTAAAATGTGAAAATAAAGGAGGGATCGATTTCGATAAAAATTCCTTTTTCGCTTTTCCTGATGTTTCGGAGTTCACGTGTGCACGCGCGCGTGTGTACTTACAATTTATTGTACCAGAGTGTCACCCAGCTTTCCGGTCGTCATTGTCGCCCTATAGGACAGTATCCATACTTAAAAACGACGGATTAAAACCCTTCTTCCGTTTGGTATAAACATTCGGTTTAATCAGATTGTATCGTATATTTTGCCCCAATTCTCAAATACAAACAAATCATTTCTTACAGTTAATTTTGAATGATGTTGAGGATATGTGTTAACACTTTATTTGAAATAAATAATTAGTACTTAAACAAGTTATGAATTATCCGTCAACAAAGTCAGCGGATTCTATAAGGATAAAAATCACAAAAAGATACAATTATCTCGTCCAATAAGTGAATCCAGATATCGAACTCTGGTAGAATGCCAGTGATGACGTGAGAGTAATGTTTTGGATAACCTTCTATGATTTGGACTTACCGCTATGCATTTAACAATTTTATAAGCGTGTTAAATTTGAAGCAAACTATCAACATTTGCAAAATGTAACCTTAATGATAGGCACATGTTCAAACGAGACAGAGAATAATGTATTTTTAATTTTTCCCCTAGTCAAAATTCTGACATTTCTTTAGACACATGTTCGAGTTTCTACTACACATTACCATTTATCTAGAAAAATGGGTACTTATATGTTCGTATTTCTACTACACACCTACCATTTATCTAGAAACAACGGTACCTATTTGTTCGTACTTCTACTACATAACACTATTTATGCAGAAACAAGGGTACTTATATGTTCGTATTTCTACTACACACTACCATCTATGTAGAAACATGGTTACTTATGTGTTCGTATTTCTACTACACACTACAATTTATCTAGAATCATGGGTATTTATGTGTTCGTATTTCTACTACACAATACCATTATTATCTAGAAACATCGATACTTAATACGTTCGTATTTCTACTACACTCTACCATATATCTAGAAACATGGGTACTTATATGTTCGTATTTCTACTAAACACCTACAATTTTTGTAGAAACAATGGTACTTATATTTTGGTATTTTTACTACACACCTACCAATTATGCAGAAACAAAGGTACTTATATGTTCGTATTTCTACTACGCACAACCATTTATGTAGAAACATGGGTACTTATATGTTCGTATTTCTACTACACACCTACCATTTATGTAGAAACAAGGGTACTTACATGTTCGTATTTCTACTATATACTACCATTTATGTAGAAACATGGGTACTTATATGTTCGTATTTCTACTACACACTACCATTTATCTAGAATCATGGATACTTATGTGTTCGTATTTCTACTACATACTACCATTTTTCTAGAATCATGGGTACTTATGTGTTCGAATTTCTACTACATACTACCATTTATGTAGAAACATGGGTACTTATATATTCATACTTCTACTACATACTACCATTTATGCAGAAACAGTCATAGGATCGGCGGGACCCAATGCAGCAAGCGATTAGCGGGGCCACAAAAACTACATTGCGGAGTATATATTTCAGTCAGCAGCGGGGCTTAAGGCGGATGTCTTTTTCACTTTACCCTAGGGCCGGGCTTGCATTTATGTAGAAAAAAGGAGTCTTACCCGTTACAATCAAGGCCTGAGGAAGAATAGTAACTTTAAGAGTATAAAATCTAGCAAAAGGACTTAATTCATGCAATTATATGGTATGGAATGAATAATGGCATTTAAATGTATCTTTATTGAATGCAACATCTCAGATCTCAGATACCACATTTATTGTTTAAAAATATGTTGAAAACTATTATATTATAATTTATTATATTATATTATATTATATTATATTATATTATATTATATTATATTATATTATATTATATTATATTATATTATATTATATTATATTATATTATATTATATTATATTATATTATATTATAAGCAGCAGGGAGGGCGAACCCTACAAAATTTTGCGACAAAATCGATTAAAGCCTCAGAATGCCAAATGGAGCCTTCCTACGAAATCTCATATTTTAACCAAAAAAAAAAAAATAAAGACCCCATTTGTAAAATGGAGCCTTAGCGATTTTGTCGCAATATGTTGTCATAATCACCCTCAAAATTGCTGCCATCTACGTCGCAAATATGTTGTCATCTCGCCCTCCCTGCTGCTGAAAGGATTTCAGGGTTAATACAAATGATTTGTTAGCTTTTCACAAACAGACTAATCGATAATACTTCACCACGTAGATCAATTAAATTATTTGACTGATCGGTGAGTGTAAAATTAATTCTAGTTAGCGAATTATTTTGACATTGCATATATACTGGATTAGTCGGAGTCTCAACAATTAAAAATCCTGGAGGAGCTGTTGGTGCAAATGAAAAAAGAATGTAACCTTGTCGGGCTTGATTTGATTGTTCCATATTAATTTGATAACTTCCTTCGATTACATCACACGTTAAATTAAGCGCGATCACCGATGAAATATCCACATTGTTCGGTGCGATATTTCTACCGTCGCCGTTTTGAGAATTATTGTGAGTCAATATAGTTGGTTTGGGTTGTTTATTTTCCCATTCCTCATGGATTATTCTGAATCCCTCGTCGATGGCCGCTCTGAGATTTTTCTTCAATTCTGGTACATTATATCCTGGTAGTTTAAACGTTGGAATATCTTCAACGCGGATTTTATATTTATCTGCAAAAAATTTACTTAATTCAGGATCATCTGCTATTTCTTGAATGTTTCGAGAATGATATTTTTCTGCGTCATCGATAATTTTATTACATGTAGCTACCACGCTGATGAATTCGTCTTTAGTGAGAGAACCGGATCTTAGAGATACTAGCAGTAACGAAAGATCATTATTTATCGCTGTGAATTTATCAGTAATACGACGTTCATCTAACTCCTCATTAAATTTTTCATTCAACTCTTTTTTCAATTTCTCCTTCATCTTTTCATCCCTCTCTTCCTTTAATCTCCTCATCCTCTCCTTTATGATCTTAGAAAGAATACTAGCCGCGGCTCCCGTGATCGCCTTGCTAAAGAGATCATCAGAAGATGTATTCCTGCGATCTCTATTACTTTCTACTGGATTCTCGGATGCTATCTTATCAGTGATATAATCAGACTTTACCGGCTCGGGTGTGGAAATGCTATCACTTCTAGGTGGATCTTCGGGCCAACCTAATACTGTTCTTATTGAACTGTTATAAATATCTACAACATACCCAGGGGAGCCTATTTCAATTGTAGATGATAGTGTTGGTTCATGAACTGTTATCGCAATTTTTGATTCTTTTCTAGTAATGGATTTTATTCTACGTTGTAATTCATAATTAATTTGCTCAATTTGATAGGACCCAGTTGGTATTGAAACAACGTCCCAATCTGGAGTGTCATCTTTTTTATTTCTGTATGCAAATATCAGGGAATTATTAGGTCTCTGACCACCAAATGGAACCGATCTAATATTAGGCCAACTATGATACACTCGTAATTTTGCCAACGCGATTTCCTTTACTGAAACAGGGGAAGGAAAATTCACACTGAATTTAGGGTTTGTTGACGATATTGATATCATGCTTGTTTTCCGCGGAGTGGTATTTTCTGCTATCCGCTGAAGTAGTTGAATCTCTTGCGACATTATTATTATTATTTACAATGTCTGATTTTGCAATAGATGAAAAAACGCTAGCGTTTTTAATCGTAGTATCATAAATACGTATCATCGCGGAGAATTCATCTTCGGTAATTATCGTATCATCAATCGATGATGACATCAACGAGGATAATTGTGAGTAACCGTTAGATACTGCTTGATGTTTTACTATTTAGTCGTTAAGTTTTTCTTGAGAACAGGATGATATTTTTTTAGTAATAGCATTTGCAATTCCAGCAAATGTTGTCACCGCGGAAATAGCAATTGGGACAGCAATCAGAGCTACCATTGTTACTGAAGATAGTATAATACCAGCACCGGCCATTATACCAGATACTGAGTATACTGTAACATCAATCGCGGTAATTCTCCTGCGATACTTTTTAATTTTTATTTCATACTCATCAATGAGTGTTTTGAGTTTCGTTAAAAACTCTTTGACGGTATCATAGCGATATTGCGATGACGGAATCATATTATTTTAAAATCTCAAGTGGTTTCTAATTGTTAAAAATTCTAATTCAGATCAGCGATATTGCGATGACGGAATCATATTATTTTAAAATCTCAAGTGGTTTCTAATTGTTAAAAATTCTAATTCAGATCAGCTACAAACTCCATGTACCATACAAATGATGTCTTATTTAAATTAGGATCAGTGCTTGTTATTGTAAACCGTTTGTATTCACCCACGTCAATAGCCGTT